TATTTACACATATACCAGAAGCCTCCTATATACAAACTTAAGTACATATTTTTCTGAAATAACCAACCAGATTAACTGCAGTGTTAGTGCCATCAAGGACACAGAAATAATTAGCTTTCTTAGAAGTTTTTTGCTAACAAAATTTGCCAGAACAGAGATTTCCTTCATAAAAAGAAAGAATTGTATATAAATTAAAAAAAAAAGACCTGTTCTGGCTTATTACGAGTAAGCCCTTTAAAAAATTATTCAAGTCATCAGAACACGATTTTTTATCTTGAAATTTGAGACAGTAATATTTATGTCTTTGTGTTAATATATGAATAAATTATTGTACAATAATATAAAACAGGGTTCTGTAAATTAGGTGATTACTAAATAATTCTTATTTTTGTAGTCTACAAAGGCAATGTTGCATATCACTGTGAGTATACTAAACATTGCTGGCATGTACACACTGAAAAAATCCTTTTATAAATTATAGTGATTTTTACCTCAATAATAAAAGCAAATAGATGATATAGCCACAGTTCTAAGGGTGTGTCTGAGTGTGCATGAGCAAGTATGTATATGTGGTGTGTGTGCATGCATGCTTGTGTATATATGTGTATGCAAATGTGCATGTTTGTGTGTGTGTGTGTGAGAGAGACAGACACACACACACACACACACACACACACACACACACACAGAGCGAGAGAGCGAGCATACTGGCTTATATGTGCTGGGTCTCTCACTGGCCTAGAGCTGACCACATAAGCTAGTTCATGTCCAGTGATGAGTGAGTCTTCCACATCTCTTAGGAGACAGGACAGGAAACAAGAAGGTCACGGTATCTCTAGAACTATCAATCAGAACACAGAAAAAAATGATTTAAAAAAATTGTATTGACCAGCTAAAGAAATTGATCCCAACATGAAAGATCCTAACTGATCCTGCTTGAACAGATTGGGTGTAAATGACATATCATATTGAAGTAGATTTAGAAATCGCATGAATAAAAATATTTGCAAGTTTCTGAGGTACAAAAGAAACTAGTATGTATTCATACTGTTGATAAGATGGCTGTAGACATGGCTCATTCGCTTACCCGTGTAGCAGAGACGCTTGGATTAGTTCCACAATGACACCACAAAACAATTGAACCTGAACACCAAGGAATCCATATGAATGTGACAGCTATACAGTCATTGAGGAACAAGCCCAAGCAGAGAAACCCATTATCCTTTTCACTTACAAAGAAAGCAATCTTGCAATTTCCAGCTGTTCATTTTTTAATATCTGAACAGTCATTTTTAAAAAAAAGCATCTATTATTGACTATAATTCAATGCAGGGTTTTATATATTGTATGATTAATATAAGACTAAAAATAGTAATAGGAAAGCACTTAGAAGTGTACTAGCATCACCTTCATGCTATTTTAGACAAATCAAAGTTGCTAAAAATGGAAGATTTCCAGCACTTCACAGAAGTTGAGAGTTGTGAATGAAAACTCCCACCTTGACTGGCTCAGCAGTCTCGATCTCATGCCTCAGAAGAGAGGCTGTGCTCACAGTATGTAGAGAAAGAAATGGGCACTGAAGCAGATCACAACAACCCTAAAATTTCTCTGGAGTTTCTCACTCATCTTAAACATTCTTAGAAACCTAGCAGCTTATAATTTTAGAAGTTTTAATAATGCTTCACAATTAATGATATAAAAGTATGTTTGTAAAACTTCATATACTTAAAATTATTGTAAATTGCATTTTGCATAAGAGCTGACTGATCTATTCTAGTGCTTAATTACTATTGGCACTGAAAATTAATGTTTTCAAACTATTCCATTTCTGTAAGCATTTACTCTATGATTGCATCATTTATTTGGAGAGTAAATCTACATTTCAGACAAAATCAATTTCGTACTACTATTTCTTTTAATTTTGCTTCTTTGTAAAAGTACTAATGATACTTATAATCAAAATAATTAATATGTTACAGGAGGTATGAAGTAAGACATATCTAGTGGGCCACACTCCAGGCTCCTTTCAGGAAGTGACAATGAGACATAGACTTGTAGATTAAATTATATTACAGAAGTCTCCTTCTTAATGGAACCTTCAGTCAACTGCATAATTAAAACTCGCATTAAAAGCCATATCACTACATATTCTGGAATATAGCCAATCTATAATTAATATGTTAATGTTACTATGATAAATGTGAGAGGAAAGTTAACTTTCTCAGGGTTTCAGAATTCAAATATATTTGCCTGGAATTTCTGTGATGGTTCCTAGCATATTTTTCTTAAAGGTTCAGGAATGGTTTGCCCAGATTTGTGAAGTGTTCTTCTAGCATTTCATTAGCTCACAGGAACACAGAGGAATGAAGAAAAGATAAGAGACCAATTCAGGCATGTGTCATTTAAATAGTTAGATTATCATTTACACAGTGGATTGTGCATCTTAATATTGAGCAAAGGGACACATATTTAAACATTTCACCACAAAGATAAGAAAATTTTGTTATGAAGTTGCCACCTCAAACTGCTTCTAACTGTGTAATGATAGGAGCAAGAGACCCCACAGAGATGGGGAGCTCTGTTTTGTTGCCTTCTGTGTTTATTTTTTGTTGTCTCTTTCCATTTATCTATTTATTTATTTTATGTGTATAGATGTTTTGTCTACATGTGTATCTGTGCACTGAGGAGACTAGCAAAGGACATCAGATCTACTGGGGCTAGAGTTAGAGAAGGTTGTGAGCTGCCATGCTCATGTTAGGAATCAAACCCAGGTCCACTGGAAGAGCAGCCAGTGCCCTAACCACTGAGCAATCTCTCCAGCCTTCTGCATATTTTTAACCTCATGGCAGAGATTACAGTCAAAGGTACAAGGTATAGCCACACAATTACTTTGGCTATCGTGGTTTGAATTTTAGTCCATACTAATGGTCACTTGACACATGCATGTTGCATCCACCAGAAAAATAGTTATAACGGCAATTCTGGCACCTCGTTGGACTACTGTAAAGAACAAGAATTAATCCATGCTGCAGCACAGAGATTACTGCCAGAGATGTCACAGCCTCAATAATGATTGCTGTTATGATTTCACTGACTGATCACACATATGGAAGAGATCAAACATCATGCACCCTTCAAATTATTCTGAAATTAATTACAGAAACTCCAAAATAAAAATGTCAGTTTCTAGCACATTAAAACTAATTTTAACTGGTCATCTAGATCCTGGAATGTTCTCAATGTTAAAAAAAAATCAAACAAAGGGAGACAGGCCAAGTTGAAAATGGATCAGAGTTAAACTAGTATTCACTTATAAACAAGCATGGTGAAGGAAATGGCAAATTCGAAGCCACAATAGCCGTTCTCACCTTGGAAGCAGGGCTAGGTGAGTGGGGTGGTAGCTAGACACTGGAAATCAGGGTGCCAGGTTAGGCTGCTTGTATTTAGATAGACATAAGGTGTCAACAGATGTTGAGAAGCATTTTTATAGCGTTTGAAACATTCCCTGAATCATACTGAGTAGATACCACTGGAAATGCAAGGAATTGGAAGCATGGTGTGTGCAGTCTCCAAAAATAAATACAGAACCATAAATGCTGCAAATCTGAGGCTTTGTGTTTTGTCTATTTCACATTTTTTACCAACCCATTATTATTATCTCAAAGTCAAGTTAATACTGAGAAGTCAGTCAAAGTGAGGATGTCCACAAAATTGCTATTCCTTAAAAAAAAAAAAAAAGACAAAATTGCTATTCCTAAAGAGGATCAAAATGCCGATAGGGATATAACAAACAGCCTACATTTCACTCATGCAGGAAACACCCTTGAAAGATAAAATAAGCAAACAGAAAAATATGGATCAGTACTTGATCTGACTTAGGTACAAATAGGCTTTTTGTTTTGCTTATGAGACGTGGTGTTATGTATCTCAGATGGCCTCAAACTTGCTATGCAGCCGAGGATGACCTTAACCTTTGAACCTATTGCTTAACCTCCTGGGTGTTGAGATTACATGCATGTACCTCATACTCAGTTTATGGGGTGCTGGGGATGTACACAGGACTTCATCTATGCTAGACAAGTATTCTAGCAACTGAGTCCATTCCAGACCCAAGTCAGCACTTGTCTGCCTGGAGAGTGCTTACTTCTTATATGGGAAGCTGGTGCTGTCTACTGTTGAAATACATTCATGAGAGATGACATATTCAAGAAACTATATAAACAGAGTGTATGTATATGTTGATTATGCTGCCATTTTGGATAAAGAAACATATGGAATATTACAATTGAAGTTCTGGGATGATGATTTTAAATGAGCCAGAAACTATCTATCTTAATACAATATTAGCACTAAAATTAAATATAATTTTAAAATAAAGAAAATAGGAAAAGCATTTATTTCAGAGATTTATATTAAAAGGTCATCAGATAGAACTTTTTAATGTCTTGGGAAGAAAAGATAAGTGATATAAATCTAGCTTCGGCTGCGTTCTCCCATTTGAAGTATAATAATAAATAATTATTAGATTGTGGCTTTTTTGGAAGCATCTGAAAGCTTTAGTCAACAGTGACATCTATATTTGAGATTTAGAAAATGCTGAGTGATGTAGAAAGGGCAACAGAGTATCCATAAGGACTGCAGATTTACTATTTCATTATGCCTTACTTTCATTCATGTATTTCATTTTGTTTTGCATGTGTGTGGCGTGTGTGTGTGTGTGTGTGTGTGTGTGTGTGTGTGTGTGAAGGTGCGTGCTCACCTGTGGAAGTGAATTGGAGGCCAGGGACTGAGGTCATCTTCAATCCTTTTTCACATTATTTTTGAGACAGGATCTCTCACTGAGCCTAGAGTTCACTGGTTTAGTTAGGATGCTGGCCAATGAACTCTGGGCATCTATTTGCCTCTCCATCCCACCCCCAGCACTGGGGCTGCAGACATGGGTCACTAATTCTGGGTTATAGAGATTAGAACTCAGGTCTACATATGTGCACAGCATGCACTTTACACCCCCCCTCCCCCGTCCAATACTATGCTTTAACCAGAAATTAAAAAGCATATAGAAAATTTCTATATAAATTTAACTTTTATAGTACTGGGACAACAAACACAGAACTGATTCATAAGTACTGATTAGCATATTTAAAACACTGGGCATGAATCCATACAAAATAGGTTCTGTCATTTTTCTTTTATGTGTCTCTTATTAAAAAGTGATGTGTATGGTATTCTTAGAACTGTTTTGCACTAATGTGGTTTTGATCCTGTTTTTCTTGGCAGCCATCAATAAACTAGAATGGTTTAAAACAAAACATTTCTCCTGTAGGAAACTTACAAAGTCAATATGATTTTTCAATTTATAAATAATAACCAAATAGCTGATTGTGAAATGAATGTCTTGGGGATAGAGAGAACAGCACACCATAAAGAGAGAGAAAAGGAGGCAAAAGTAAGTGTCATCTATAAAAAAATCAGTGTTTGTGGTTATGAATAAATAATGTTGAGATTCAGAATTCATATGCTAGCATAAATTATAGAAGGACATATTTGAGAAATCCAAAACCAAGAGTCACCATAGAGAAGTGGCCTCTTACATCTTTGTCATCCTGAGGTCAGCCCTGACTGCCAAAACAGTTTTACAGACTTCCACATGTCATGTCATGCAAAGTAGAACACATTGAGTTTCTGGTCACATCCAACAGGGAGAATGGTAAAACACCAGAATGTTCTAAGTATCAAGGTCTTATATTGCTTTTTTATATTGAATGCAGACTGATTTCTATTTCTAACTGTATATTCAAAAAGGTATAGGACTGGACCTCCTTAGCCAATTTCAAACTATGACAGAGTTTTATAGGATTTTCCACTAACATGAAGCCAGGTTTTTTTTTCAGGGATTTGTAAAGTGATATTTAATCCATTTATGTATGAATGAAACATCAATATGTATAAATAGAGTTTATGTTTTAACATTTTCTCCAGAATGTGCAGTCTGAGTCATCAGCAAATTCTCCTCTCAGTACTGTGTACTATATACCAGCAGACTGCTGGGAATTCATAAAATTAGCTTTTATATTAACCTCAGAGAGGTTGAAAGAACGTGCCCTATATATCACAGAAAGAATGCACTTGTCTTAATGGGATTGTCTCATTATTTTTATGCCACCACAGGACCTGACATTGATATGAATGACTCCAACATTTTACGATCACCATCATTCTTGTTTGTTTTCACGTATTCTTTTCAAAGAGAAGGCTTTCCCTGCTTGGGAAGGACAGGTCCTAACATAGCCTAATGCATGACTCTTCACTTGAAACTGATCTAAAGTTCTCTGTATAAAGTATTGTTGATTACTTGGTGGGGACCACTCTGCATCTACTTCCTACCTCTCTCAGAGGCAAATGAGAAGAAAACACCTTGACCGTGGAATTATGGTGAAGTGATGGGTAGTTTTAAGCATGATCCAATACATCAGCCTGTACTAGCATAAGCAAATTTTCCGCTCTCTACTTACCTTGCTACGTGGTTTATTACAGGAGCAAAGTTGGTTGGCCCATACAGCTGCACAGATTTCAGACTTCTATAATAAGCTTCCATGACCCCTTCAATGCCATCACAGTAGGGATTCTGAGGGTTGCCATTCTTGTAGAAAATTACAGGCAAAAATTTAAAAAAAATTTAGTCTCCATGAAAACCAGTTAAAAAAATTTAATACACACCAATATGCATAAAATTAATTTGAACTTAAGGTTTTATATTAGCAACCCCTCTAACACTGATGAATTAACTGGTCTGCAATAGATATTACACAGATCATAATATAATGACTATTCTATTCTAAAAAGAAAGTGTAAAAATGTAAAATAATCTGAGAAAAATTTAAAATAATCTGAGAACCACAGCAGGCATTTTAAAATCAGAAGTATCTAAACTCCAAATTGATTTGTGCACACTTAGAGATTTTATTTAAAATCTGGAAAGAAGAAAATTAATAGTAATAGTGTTTATCTCTGGGTGGTTAGGTATTTAGTGCTTTTCACTCCATATCCTGAACATATTCTACATTTTCCCAATTTCATATAGGTAGTAAGCATGAATTACAATCTGAAAAAAGTAAATGCTTTCAATTCAGTTTTACTTGAAAACTGGAAAAAAGCAAAATATTTGCTATGTTCACACTTTTCAAGTCATGGATGTCTGACTCTGCCTAGAGAAAGGGTCACAAGGAATATAACTGGAGAATATAAAGTGAGAAACACTGAAACAAGAAAAAGGGGAGAAAAAAATCAAAGAGGATATCCATGTAGTGTGGGTGAGTGGAGCTGGTTAGTAATAAGCCCTTGTTCTGGGAACAGTGCCCACATGGATCCCACACCCTTCCTTTCTCACACTGCCTCTGCCCTGGCACTGTCAAGGTTCATCCTCCTGGTCCAGATTTTATGTTATTCAAGTGAGACAATGTTAGTTGTTGATTTCTTGTCCATCTAATTGTCCCTAATGTTTTACCACTTTGTATCTTGGCATCAAACAGTACTCTACACTGTCTCCTATATGTGGGAGAATTCCAGAACAGCTAAGGTGGGCTGTTCTGCAGCAGGCCAGCTCGTGGGGCTCTGGCAGCTTAAGATGCTGAAGTGAGCTGTAGTCATCCGAAAGCCTGATATGGGCTAGAGGAAGAAGCCAAATGGATGTGCCTTAGGTTTGTTTCTAATGGCATCTCAGCTAACTTCCCCAGAATGATTAATCAGAGAGAAGGACAGAACCCAGAAGCTTCATGTGAGACTTTCAGTAGCTGGTCATCATTGTTTCTCCTCTACCCTATCTGCTAAGACTGGGCCACAAAGAGCCACCTTCTCAAGGTAAGGACAATTAGGCTTCTCCTCTGGAAGTAGGGCATACAAAAACTGTAGGTATATTTAAAGACATCAAAAAACTATAACTGTATTTAAACAGCAATAACTCTAGAATACAGATTTATCCCCAAACAATCACAATAACTGATCATTTACAGCTGAGGTTTGATGAATTCTATGTAGCAAGTTTTGTACTGAATAGTCGATGTATCTAACTGCTAATAGCTAAAATGGTCATGAGAATGATGTTGTACTTAGCACATAAAGAAATGAAAACACTGAGTTCATTGCTCATCCAAGGTCACACAACCCAAGACAGATGTAAACTATGACTCTAGGACGTCTGACCTTAGCACTTGACCCCTTCACCCCTTCATGGCTCCACTTAGGACACAGCCAATGTTTTGAAAAACTGGGGATTTTAGAAAATAAGCCAGAGGGATCAACGCCTTCAATCTTGCTATTCATAAACAAGGGATTTATACTGAACTCTTCACTTTCAGTATTATATTTTCTTCAAAGATTTTAATTAATTAACCCCCATAACAACACTTTTAAACTGTAATGGTTTGAATGAAAATGTCACCCATAGACTCAGGTATTTGAATTCTTGGTCCTCAGTTCCTGGCATTGTTTGGGTAGGCTTAGGAGGTGTGGCCTTGCTGATGGAAGTCTGACACTTGTGGCAGGCTTTGAGGATTGTAAACCATGCTATTCCCAGTTTTCTGTCTCGGCTTCCTGTTTACAGCTTAAGATGTGAGCTGCCTGTCACGCTTCCCCATCACGATAGTGACGGGCTTCTAGCCCTCTGGAACGGCAAGCCCCCAGTAAGCCTTTCCTTTTCTAAGGTGCCTTGGTCATGGTGTCTTATCACAGGAACAGAAGAGTAACTAATACAGAAACCAAAAACAAACAAATGAACAAACAAAACAAACAAACAGGAAGTGCCACCCAGAAAAACAAATGCTGCCAGTTCTCTCCAATATGGAGATGCTGGCCTTGGGTCTTTAGAATTTTGTATATGTTTCACATAAGGGAAAGCACAAACACAGTCCCCCACTACCACCAATTATGCAGTTGAGTATCTCACGTTTGTGGAAATCACAGGGATCAGCACACATCAGGAATGCAATGGATAAGCCTCGCCCTGGGAAAACCGACCTTTGTGATCATGGTATCTCCCCTGCCAGGTAATTGTAAGTACTTAGCTTGGAGTGTCTATAAAAGCCAGAAATATATAGAAAGAAAGGTGTCATTGGTGCAGGCTAATCTTAAGGAAGTAAGGTCAAAACACAAGTGGTATGAAGTGGGAAATGGGAATAATGGAAGGAGGATGGTTGAAGGGTAGGGGGTATAGGAAAGCAGGGTGGGGGGGGGAAGATAATTAATATTAATGTTGTTTGAAAAAGTCATATGAAAACCTATTTTATAAGCTTCCATATATATAAAGAGATAGATAGATAGACAGACAGACAGACAGATAGATGATAGATAGATATAATAGAGAAATTGAGGATAGATAAAATACAGGGAAAAATGATAATTGGTTGGTTGGTTTGTTGGTTGGTTGATGATAGATAGATAGATAGATAGATAGATAGATAGATAGATAGATAGATAGTTCAATCGGTAGGTAGAAGTATAAATGGAGTTACCTTACTCATGGGGATATTGCTCCTCCCATAAGCCATAAGTTATCAAACAAACAAACAAACAAAAACCCAGTTCCAGATGTGGATATCTCCCATGGAGTTGTTGGCCAAAGGAGTCCCAGAGATCCCCAAACAATACAGATAGTTTTCCTTGCTCTTGGTTGCTCAATAGAACTTGATGGTAAGACTCTATTGCTGAAAATACCACACACATGGGTCATTGAACATTGAGAAATTAAGCTGATCAAGCCAGTTGGTAGTTGGTGGCTGCTGAGAGAGGGACAGCCAGTTTTCTTCAGTGTTGAGAAGGGGATATTGATGTGGGGACAATTGGAGAGGGGAGTGGGTGTGGATATGATAAAAATATATTGTATACATGTATGTAACTATCAAAGAGCAAATGAAAATGTTATATTAGGAAAATAAAAACCTCTATTATGAAATAGATCTACAAAGTATCTAAAATCTAGAAGTTTACCATTTAACACAAAAATGTTGGTTTTGGTATTAATTGGAGGTTGCTTATATTATACGTGCATGTGTGCACATGTGTGCATATGTGCACATGTGAGGTGCATGTGCATGCGTGTGCATGCATGTGCATGCGTGCGCGCGCGCGCGTGTGTGTGTGTGTGTGTGTGTGTATGAGGCCAGTAACCTTGGTTATCTTCTACAGTAGCAATTCACCTTATTTTTTGAGACAGGGTCTTTTGATAAACTTGCAAATGTCTATTTTTGCTAGCCTGGTTGGCTATAATGTCTCAGGAATCCTCATGTCTCCACTTGCACAGTGCTGGAGTTATGGGGGCACCACCAGGCCAAGCTTTCTATTAGTGTTTTTACATGGGAGCTAGGGATTTGAACTCAGGTCTTTTTGCATTCACAACAAACACTTTTCTAACTCTGTCCATCTCTCCAGCTTGGAGACGTGTAGACGAATTTATAAGCAGTCTTATTAAATAAAGAACAAGGAGCCAAATATAGGGGTGAAAGTCTTAGAGATTAGGGAAATAGTGAAAAAGAAAAGGGGAAGTACTGTGAATATCATTCTGTATGCTGTGAATGTGTTGCTCTGATTGGTTAATAAATAAAATGCTGATTGGCCAGTATACAGATAGGAAGTATAGGCGGGACAAGCAGAGAAGAGAATTCTGGGAACAGAAAGGCTAAGTCAGGAGTCGCCAGCCAGGCACAAATGTGAAGCAATATGTGAAGGCTGAACTGAAAATGGGTACCAAGCCACCTGGCTAAACATAGATATGAATTATGGATTAATTTAAGTGTAAGAGCTAGTCAATAAAAAGCCTGAGCAAATGGCCAAACAGATTTTTTGTTTTTTTATTTTGTTTTGTTTGTTTGTTTGGTGTTTTGAGACAGGGTTTCTCTGTGTAGTTTTGGTGCCTGTCCTGGATCTTGCTCTGTAGACCAGGCTGGCCTTGAACTCACAGAGATCCACCTGCCTCTGCCTCCCTAGTGCTGGGATTAAAGGCATGTGCCACCACTGCCTGGCTAAGCCTCTGTGTGTTTACTTGGGGGACACAAGTGGGAAAGACTTGTCCTGACTGCAGGTTGGGCGGGACACAGGAAAAATTTCAGCTACAGAGCTGACCTACTTCATCTTCTTTTTGAATAAGATTTTATGATGCTCTTTTCCCTTGAAAGGTGTAAGCTAATTAAAATTGAAACTCATTACTGATTTTAGGCATAGAAAAAAATATTATATATCAGCCTTAAGGGAACAGTTACAAACTAGGATAGTCATAAGCTACTTTTCTGATCAGCATGTTAACGTTTTCACTGGGGGCTTGTATGTCTATGGAACTCTTTCTCCTTCTCTGGAAGTAAAATTACAAGGTCACCATTTTCCCTCTTTTGGCAGTGGAAAGACAGGCACTGTGTGCCCTGCTTATCACTGTGGGCTTCTGAAAGGCTGATTTCTCAATTAGTCCTCCTGCCCTAGGAGGTGGTGCTAAGATTTCCTCACAGCCGGGGATGATAAGAATGCTTTGTAATGCAAAGTCTTATCTCTTTAAGAATATATGCTTTGTATCAGTCAAATTATTTAAAACATTTTCCAGTTACCAAAATTAGACTTCCCCTTAAATGACAAAGTTGCAATGGGTTATAATGAGATTTTAAAATTAATTCCTTCAACAAATTATTCAGGAAAGCAAGTTTTGTCTTTTAAAACCAATTAGATTGGCATTTGATGTGTGTCAATTTTATCTCAGAGGAGACCTAGTAACTAGTACTCATTATAGTCAGGAAAACAAAAGCACTCTGAAAATGGAAAATAACCATTAGGCACCAAACTAAATTTGGTTTATTACCATCAGAACCAATGTAATCCTGTTTCCTTAACAGTGCACAGGGCTAGTTTCCATAGATATCACAAGCCATGACAGCAGTCTTAGCAGTTCTGAATTGGATTTTAAGAAGAACTTACAGGTTAAGTAATAAACAGTTCGTTCTAATCAGTGGGCAGTTTAATAAATTTGACGACAAGAGTGAATGATAAGGAAAAAGCAGAAAGGGAGACAGGTGGCAAAAATCTATGTACAAAGGTGAGAACTATGCAGAGAGAAATTACTGACCTCATTGGGGTGAACATTATCATTCCCTCTGGGGGCTTTAAAACAGATCCAGCCCCCCCCCTCCCTCACCGAAGCACACACAAGGGGTTTTCATGGCTTTTTAAGTTTCTGGGAGGTTTTAATTCTCTGAGATGCATGAAATTCCCAACAGATACTTCTTTTTATATGACTTAGGAGTATAATGTGTGTGAATGATTTCATGAAAGAAAACAATGATCCCCTCCCCATAGCATCTTTTCCTAAGACTGTGTGGGTGATGGAACAAAGAAACAAAACTGAATACGGAAATAACAATGCACAAATACTCATGAAAATGTGTGGGAAAGATTCAATCTATTCATATAAAAGCTTCTGTGTATGATACATATACATGTGTGTACATGGCTATGCATATACACATATGTATACATGTGTGTATGGCATATGTGTGCATGCATATATGGGTGTGTACATGCATGAGTGTTTGCATGTACGTGTGTATATGAACATGCATGTGCACATGTGTGCTTCTACACATGTACATAAGTATATATGTGCTTGCATGTATATGCACATGTTCATGTGTATTGCATATGCATGTATGTGCACATGTACATATGTGTATTGCACATGTGTGTATGTGTGTGCATACATGCACCTACATGTATGTATGTGTGCATGTGTATATGTGTTGAGAAAGCACATACTTACAGAGACAAATGGGATGCTCTTGTGAGCCATAGTTTAATAACGGTTAAGAGCAGAGGTGTTAAGAAAAAGGAAGATTGGGGTTTGATCCTGTCCTTTGGACTCTGAACTGTCACACAGCTCCTGGAGATAGTCTCACCACACCAAGTATAAGTAGTGCATGAGTGTATCTGTCATGGTGTATCTACTGCTCATGGATTTTTTGGACATTATATAAGATAATGAATATAAATGATGAGTTTTGATTCTAATAATGTTCACTCAGTCTTGATCTGTCTTCCTACCCGAGGAAACTGGAGCTGTGAGAAAGCAGCTAAGGCGGAGGCAGCACCACCACTGGGTAACGGTTTCTATCATCAGATGGGAGACGATTCATCACTGGTCACAGAGACATGATCTCTTAGCTCAACGCTGCACGTGAGCATGCGTGGGTGTGTCACTTGTCAACCACAGAAATGACGTTTCAATGCTCTGGAGATGAGGAAGCCTAAGATGGAATAGCAGGACCATTGCTCGCTCCAGGCTGGAGGGCTGCTGGCTGCTTAGGTGACAGAGCAACTGCTGTGTGGCTCCTCTGCTAAAAGGGTTTTATTCCCATGTCTTCATCCTGACGTAATCACTGTGTGCGTGCGTGCATGCGTGCGTGCGTGCGTGCGTGCGTGCGTGTGTGTGTGTGTGTGCGCGCGCGCGCGCACGTGTGTGTGTGTGTGTGTGTGTGTGTGTGTGTGTGTGTGTGTGTGTGCTGTGTGTGAAGCCAGAGGTTGGCGGCAGGGGTCTTCCTCAGTTACTTTCTAACTTACTGTTTGAACAAGATCCCTCCTCCCTCCAAGCTAGAGCTCACCAATTCAGCCAGACCTGCTACCAAGCCTTGGGGATCCCCATCTCTTTGTCTTCTCAGCACTGATGTCAATGGACCCACACCCTCATACCCAGCCTTCTGTGTGGATGGCAGAGATCTGAAATCTGATCCTCATGCTTGCACGGCATGCATGTGACCCACGGAGCCATGTCACCAACATCTAGTCACCCCTCGGTAGGTCTGCCTTTTAGTTCTGCTAGTCCTGGCAACACCAGAACTTTAGACAAGATACATTCAGATCATAGCAATCTCTACATGAAAAAAAAAAAAAGATGGATTTTCAAGGATCTGATTTAGGTGCAATCTTTTTTTATATCCATCCCTAACATTATATGACAATATTGGTTTGATTACGTGGAATAAATGTAAAGAGGGAAAAGCAGACAAGGCATGAATGGGGGGAGGGGATGAGTAACAGCACATAAAAGGAGAAGGGACATTTTCAAAGTAAATTAATAATTAATTTCCTTTAGTTTAACAAATCATTCCTTCTATCAGGCATAATGAAGGATGGTCAGCTAAAGATAGCTGCACATTCCTTGATGGCCTTTCCACTGAGAAGTCAAAATTAATTCCCCTATCTTGAAATCTGTGCTGGCCGTAGTAACTCACTTAGTAAAAATAATGTCACATTTTAGAACTTCTAAGCCTGTGATCTAATGGATCTGGAGTTTCCGTCTCAGACTTCAGAACACCCAGGAAAACTGGCTGTGGGTGGGGAATATGAACACCAGGAGTCTACCATACTAGGGAGAGCCAACAATAAGCTGTGTATAAGAGGAAACTTCTGCTACTTCAGCCATGTCATCTCGGGCATCAGAAAATGAGCACAAGACAAGGAATGATCATAGTGTCCGTACTACACAAAACACATGATGCAGACCAGACCTGAGGAACCGGAGCGGTGTCCAGAAGGGAGGCTCTGAAATATCACCTTAGTCAAATTATCCTTTAACCATTAAAAACGTCTGAGCTGAGGCCTGATATTTAAAACAAACACGTATGCTTATCCAGTTATGTTTGTGATTTCCTTTATGACCCACAGACTATGAGTTTAACATATTTATTATAGGGATATTTATTATGCAATGGTGGATGCCCAGAATGGGCCTACTATGTATAAATGGAGGTTCTGTAGGCAGATTTACTGATAGTCTGTCTTTTATATGAAGTTCATTCTCCTAAGTGAACTATTATAAAACTGAAATGAGTGACAGTCACCAAGACTTGCTACCTAAACAAGTGCAGTAGACACAGGAAAACCAAGACTGAAGTATCTGGCATGTTAGTTGTTTTCAAACTGTCAAATAATTTTCATATATCATTACCAAAGCAAACTCGTGAGATATCCTTCCGTCTGGAGGCAGCTTTGCACCAAAACCAAGGGCTGGGAACATCTTATCGCTGTCATAATCTTGAACGATTTCTCCCACAGCCTTCAGGGCCATGCCGTAGGCGTTCAGTTGGTAAGGGTTCATGTAGTGGAGAGAAGTCGGCTGGGCGGGGTTTCCTAAGGACAGAAAATGTTTTAAAACACATGTAGTCAGGCCACAGATTTGTATTAGTACTGTAGTTTTTGTTTATTTCAGTTTCAAAGACTCAAAATTATCATTTTCCACCTCTCCCTACCCAGTGTCTTTGTCTAGACCTGGGTCTTCACTCTACATCAATGGTCCTTTCCCTTCTAAGCTTCTCAAATTGTCACCTTGTCCTGAATTCACTCTCTTCCCTTAGTTTATGTCTCAGACACAGCAAACACCACTTCTTGTTTCTTTTGGCTCTTCTTGTCTTTTTCCCCCTGCCCTGTGTTTCTTCTGTTCTGTTCCATAAAACTAGCAATTAAAAAAAAATCAGCTCCCAACTCCTTGAGTCTGTGACATTGTCTGAATCTCCCTTGTGCCTTCAACAATGCCAACGAAGATTGAAATGGTAGCTGCTGCATGACATTGAACTTAACCAGTAGCAGCAATGATTATAATAACAAGGAATTTATCACAGACTGAACATCTGACTTCACGTCTTACAACCCTTTCAATAAGTTCTTTCTGAAACATTTGACTTTTGGCTACTATGTGTCTAAGAATATTCACATACAAATTTTCTTTCTACTTGTTTTCATTTCTCTTGGACATATACCTTAATAGAGAAATTGCTGGTTTATATGGTGACTCTGAATACTACAATTTGAGTAACTGCCAAAATGTTTTCAAAAAGCAGCTACACCATCAACATCCACAGTATTATAAAGGTTTGAATTTCTCTAGTCATCAGACCAGTTCTATCGAGTCATGTTCATGGATGTGGGATGATATCTGTCCATAGTTCTGGTTTATGATTCCTGTAGTCTTAAGTACATCAAGAATACATTATTATAATTATTTTATATCTTTCTATTTTATTTGGAGAAAGATTCTGTTCAGATCATTTGCCTACTTTTTTAATTTATTTCATTTAAAATTTTATTTATTTATTTATTTATTTATTTGTGTGTGTGTGTGTGTGTGTGTGTGTGTGTGTGTGTGTGTGTGTGTGCTTGTATGTGCCATAGTGTGTGGGGAGGGAGGGAGTGGTTGGAGAACAACATACGAGAGTCGCTTCTTTCCTTCTGTCATGAAGGTCCAGAGGATTGGACTCAAGTCATCAAGCCTGGCAGTAAGCATTTTCATCTACTGAGCCATCTTCCTGTATCCATTTGCCTATTTTTAAATTTTGAATATTTTTTCATGGAGTAGTTAGAATTCTTTCTGTATCCTAGACACAAGTGTCTTATAGTCTATAGGCTTTGGACATATTTGCTACATTTAGGACTTGTCTTCTGTTTTGATAGTTTCATTTGAAACATGAAATATAATTTTGAGAGCATTCACTTTATTTTCTTTTCATTGCCCATGCCCTTGATATCACATTTATGAATCAGGTGCCACATCCACAGCCATCAAAGTTTATTCTGTTGTTGTTGGTTTTTTTTTTTTTTTTTGTTTCTGAGCATTTTACAGTTTAACATTTGAAGCACTTCTGTTTTAGTGGAGTTTTGTACATGACTTAAGAGTCTTAATTTTATCCTTTTGCATGTGGCTAACAACTTGACCCAGCACTCTTACTAAAAAGAATATTTTACCCCATCAAATTGTGTTTAGTATCTTTCTTTCTCGTTTGCTTTAGCATTTCTTGACCCTTTGCAATACCACACAAATTTATACATGAATTTTTCCTTTTCTAAAATGAAACCTTTCAGATTTTGATATTGTATCAACACTGTCAATCACTTGGAGGAAGATGGCTGTCTTAACAATGTTTGCTCTTATAATCCAAAACAAAACTTGTAAATTTTATTATGTAATTTCTCTTGACATTCTTCTCAGAATAGAGTCTTCAGTTTGTAAAATTTATATATTTTGTGTTAAATGCATTCCCAATTTTTTCATTTTTAAAAAAACATTATTATAGATGCACTTATCTTATTTTCATTATGAATACTTTTCCTTGCAAAAATATAGAAAAGAATTGATGTATATATTTATCTTCCTTCCTGTAGTCTTGATCAACTCATGATTAATTGTAACACATTTTTAGTAGATTTCTCTGGATTTTGCATACTACAGGATATCTTCAAAAGTAGTTTTATTTCACTCTTATTTATTTACAATATCAATATTTTTTTCTCTAACTTCCATGGCAACAACATCTAGTACAATGTTGACTAGAAATGGTCAAAGCATTCTTGTCTTGTTTCCCATCTCAGAAGTCATCCAGCCTTTCATACTTAAGCATGATGTTGAGTAGGTTTTTTTTTTTCTATAGTTTCCCTCTACAAGGTTTGAAAATGTACAGCACAAATACATGTAGAACTTTGCCAAATGATTTCTCAGCATCATGTGGGATATTATTCATTTTCAAAATTTTAATATTCAAAAATCAAGTAATATAACATAGTCTATAAACAGCAGAAAATTAGAAAATGAATGAGCAGATGATATGCCATTATATGCTATTGGTTTTGAATATTTTACTGAATATTTTTATATATACATGTACATGAAAGGTGACTTCTAAGTTTTTTCTTATGATGTCTTGGTCTCATTTTTGCACCAAAGTATTAATGGCCTCACAGAAAGAACCAGGAGATGCTCTTTTCTCTTTGTTATTTGGGACAGTTTGTGCAAGGCTGGCAATTTAAATATTTGGTAGACTTCATCAATGAAGTCTCCTGGAACTAAGGTCCAGTAGATAAACTTTGATGGTAGTTTTCTTCATTGCTAATTCAGTTTCTTGTTACACATTGTTCAGATTGTCAGTATCTTAAATGAGTTTCAGTTGCTTCTGTTTTTCTACTGAATAGACAATTAATTCTCTTAGTTGGCCTAAAACTTATCAATAGAACAATGAATAGTTATTTCAACCAGTTGGATATAAGCTGAGTTACTTATTATGGGCCATATTTGATAGACATGAATCAAGATTACTGTCTGAAGGCATAATGCTAACACATATACTTTAACCCACAGAAAAAAAGTGAGCTGGTAGAATTGGGCCTCATTAACTGTGCTTCTAGCTCTTCTAGGAATAAGCCAACATATTATTAGTAAAAAGTTTTATAGAACTAGGTTTGCTCAATTGTACAAGAAGAAGTTTGGATTTAAGTGCTTTTTGGACCGTGATTTGGGGAATGTGGGTCAGTGTAAGAGAAATGCAAAGAGATAATGAGAGTTGTAGACACAATGAGTAATCAGAACAGAAAAATCTGCAGAGGCTCCTCAGCATGCACTGGGGCATTGTGCTGGCTTCTTTTATGTCATCTTGACACAAGTTACAGCCATCTGAAAACAGGGAGCCACAATTGAGAAAATGCCTCCATAAGATCAGGCTATAGGAAAATCTATAGGGCATTTTATTAATTAGTGACTGATATGGGAGGCCCCAGCCCATTGTGGGTGGTGCCATCCCTCAGCTGGTTGTTCTGGGTTCTATAAGAAAGGAGGCTAAGCAAGCCACAAAGAGAAAGTCAGTAAGTAGCACTTTTCCATGGCCTCTGCATCAGCTCCTGCTTCCAGCTTCCTGCCCTGCCTGAATTCCTGTCCTAACTTCCTTTGATGATGAACTGTGATGTAGAAGTGGAAGTTAAATAAACCCTTTCCTCTCCAGTTTGCTTTGGTCATGGTGTTTTGTCACAACAACAGTAACCCTAAGACAGGCATCACCCTAGTAAACACAGGGAAGGCAGAAGGTACTGTCAATCAAAAGTGCACTTAACACTCTAACTTTGTAACAGATCTCAGCAACTCCAGAACCCATGCAGCAGCCTCAGTTTTCCTTGTTATTGTATAACTTGGGAGCTGTGGCTTGCTGCTGCTGCAGCTGTTTGATATCAGGAGAGAATATCACACAGTACCACGAATTCAGGAGGAAGATTAAATGGAAAGTTCTGAGCATGGCTTCTAATGAGGCTGTTCTGCCCTCTTGCCTTGCAAAGTTGAATCTTTCTAAGTAGTTTGGGAGTTATTGCAGTTTGGGAATTACCTGTGGGTAAATATAAACTCGTGGCAACTTTGGGCAAAAGTAAATAACAATGGTTTGAAGAATGACTCAGTGGTTAGAAGTACTTAGTGCATAAGCCCAGAATCCTCAGCAGAATGACAGAACCGACCTCTGAAAGTTGTCAACTGACCTCCATAGATGGGCTGTGACGAATGCCTACTCACACTCATACATGCACACCATACACATGCACACCATACACATGCACAAATAGCAATAAACAGAATAAAAACTGAAAAAGATAAAACAAGGCTCATGTTTTTAGGATATAATATGGTCATTCCATTCAAAATAAACTTGGCTCAGAATAAGATTAAATTTCCATTATTTTTCATCCTTAAAATATTTTTACATGAATCATTAATGTCCATACAAAAATATCATACATCAATCCTATCTAATGAATCAGGTGTCATGATGTTAGTAAGTGAGTAAAATTATGATGGCATCCCATTTTCAGGAGTAAGTTCACACAGAGGTGCTTGAAGAATGGGGTCTCTAATTAGACACACTTCAGAAGTGGCTTAGATACATAATGGATTTAACTACATCTAAAATCAGTAATCCTTGGTAAGAAATATGAAATAGCAAAATGTTTCAGCATGTGGTTAATCTGTCGTAGATTTTTGCTATAGTTCTACATTTTTGTATATCTAAACTGCTATGTAATGTTAAAATAAAGACAAAATTTTAGGACTTTTGATGAAAAGGCAAATTCGTCACTTCATCGGCAGCAGTTCTCACTGGGGAACAGTGGAAGCACTCACCGTTGGATGCTGTGAAGTCAATGGCCACAGTGAAGTTGATCTGAGTTCTAGAGCACAAGAAAAAGGGGTCACCAAGTAAGCAGCTGCACACCCAGGAGGTTATTGTCCATTTTCGTCACATTTTCAGTCTCACAAATTTTCTTAAGTGTTAAATGTGAACAAATATAACATCTATTAGACAGCCTTAAAATAGGCAGATTTACTAGGTAAGAGTGTGTTTAGAATGTCTTTGCTGTCATGATACTGTAAAACAAACAGTCGTTTGAACAATATTAGCTCGGCTTTGAGCTCAGGAACCATGCAAGTGGCTGAGAGAAGAGTCTACACAAGCAACTGTGAGTTCAAGTCCAGCACTCATAGTTAACTGTTGCCTTTGAGACCACCAGTGAAATGGTCACACGCCTCTACACCATCAGTCCTTAAACTGCCTTTCAAAAGTCCTGAAGATAGGACCCTCCTCTCTGTTTTTGAGAACTGACATAGTTCAAGTGACAGTCTGCATCAGGCTGGCATGGTAACCTCCACCTATTTACCTGTTATTGATAGATATAGTGATAAGATATGAGTATATATATTCTAATTTTCAGCAGTTAGTCAATACATAAATTTGCTTTGCTTGCTTAGTTTCTCTTTTAAATGAGTTAGCTTTTTTCTTCCCTTCCCTTCTCTTCCCTTCCCTTCCTTTCCCTTCCCTTCCCTCCCCTCCCCTCCCTTCCCTTTTCCTTCTCTTCCCTTTTCCTTCCTTCCTTCCTTCCTTCTTCCTTCCTTCCTTCCTTCCTTCCTTCCTTCCTTCCTTCCTTCCTTCCTTCCTTCCTTCCTT